GGGATGAAATCGGATAGGGATGAACGGGTTTAAGAGTTTTAAGAGTTTAAGAGTTTTTAAGAGTTTTAGCCAAATGCATTATAATATAGTATAGATATATATATATATATATATATATATCAATATTAGTATTAAATTAACTATTTAAAAGTTCTATTTTTTTGTAATTTCTTTAATTCAAACTTTTTATTATAATTTAATTTAACGTAAATAAGTAATTTAATAATATAATTTTTTATAAAAATAATCATTAAGTATTATGTTATAACTCAATGATTATTATAATTATATTTAACATTTTTTATATTTAAAATGAGATATTTATCCTGTGTTTGATTACGTTTATCTGCAGTTAGTTACACGAATCATAGAGCTCAATTTACTATTAATCTTGAATTTTAAGTAATATGCATTAACAAACAGTACTTCGTGCATTAAAAAATGGTTTTAAGAATTATTGTCAAATGTTTTATAATATAGTATAGATATTTAGTAAATGTTAAGGCGTATTTTAGAAGTCCTAAGGAACTTATATTCCTCCTTAATATGTTTACTAATAATCATATAACTAATCCAGTTATTTTCTCGATACGTACAAGAAAAAGGCACCTCAATTACACTAGTATGCATTTCAATTTTGAAAACGATACATGAACCTACATAGCTTTAAGTACACCTAACCTCTTCAACTATTCGTATGAATTCACCAACTAAAACAACATTGGTCATTTTCTCTAAAGATCTCTTATTATTGAATCCTATTACATAGATAAATGCAATACTTTAATTGCATTTTATCATAGTAAACTTAATGTTCATCATCGCATCTCCTATACGTTCATACTATGTTTAGACACTAACCCCTGTTCTACTTTCTGTACATAAACACGTTACGTTGATTTATTGCTGAAACCATGGTAAGCTTGCCACGCATGGTTATGTTAACCTAGATGTGCATAATTTACGACCTTCACGGTAGGTTTTCTTGGCTCTTGCTTTAATACTACTTTGATGTCCTTGAATGGTCCATTCAAAAGCTAAAGCTTCAAGCTTTAAAACTTGATTACAAATGTTTTAAATAGTTAAAATAACTAATAAGAAGCATTTTCTTCAAGAAATTCCGACAGTTGCATCATAGTGCTTGAAAGGAGAAGCTCTGACTGGATCTCCAACACAACATTGTTTCTACAGTTTAGGAAATAATGGATGAAAGAATATGATTGCGTTGTTTGTAAATCGGGAGGGATTCATGCTATAGATTATCTTAACTTTGATCATTTAAAATTTGATGAAAGTATTTTAGATTTTTATCTTAATTGATAAAGCATAATTAAATTAAGTCAGTTAATTTCAATAGATGATTAAATTTCCAAGTTATAAAACTCGAATAGTGTAACGAAACAGAAACAATTCAATATTCGTTATTTTTATTGAGAAAAAAAATCGTTGTTATTTTAAATCAAAAGTAACATAATAAATGTCATCAAGAATATATTTTGATGCATAAAAGGAATCATCGACCTAGGCTAATCTTTCCCTACAAAGAGAAAAATGGGGTTACAATACATATTAAAGGTATTAACAAAGAAAACATTATCCCCAACAATGAAACCCCAAATGATATATTAGTAGGCTTTTTTGATGCTGGGTATCTTTCCGACGGTCTGACTCACACAAAGGTCGTTCCCAAACAAGATATGTTTTTACAATTGGGAATACAACGATTTCTTGGAAATCCACCAAGTAAACCCTTGTAGCTACCTCCTCGAATCATTCAGAGATTATTGCTCTATATGAGGCAGTTCAAAAGTGTATATGACTAAGGTCTGTCATTACACATATAAGAGGGGTTAGTGGTTTAAGTTCAACCACTCAAAATACTACATGCATAAATGAAGATAATGCAGCTTGTATCGAACAAATAAAAGT